ATGAGTATCATGGCATGCATCTTAATCCTGCTGTTAATCATTTTTACAAAATATTGTAATCCGCTATTGTCGAACAACCTTTTCAATAAACTTTTCAGCGCTTCAAATCAGTTGTTTGACAATAAATCGAAGCTAAACCTGCTTTTGTATCGTAACACCAGAACTATTGTATACGAGATATACAACTTACCCCCCTAACTCAAACCTTGAACATTGTCCGGAAATGCGTTGACTTAGAAGAAAGACTTTGAGATAAAGAATAAATTTGCAACTTTGGACTTGGGTAAAACCATTACAAGTCAAATGGAAAGTCTAGCGACCGTTGTTCGAACCCAGTTTGAGTTCTTTTTTTATATTGAAGATTATCTGTTTAATGAATCATTTTCAATTTTAAGATTCATGAAACCATCATTTTTTATAGCTCTACAAGAATAAAGTTGAGCTAGATTTTCGATGAATACCTTTTTGTGGCAAAGTTCAAATTTGACTGTGTAAGAATTTTGTGGGAAAAAGCAAGAGGGAAAAGTAGAGGAAAAAAGTTATTTCGTACACGTTAACTCACCATTTTAAATATAGACAAAGTAAGCCGAGGGTTCCCGGAATAAAATGTATTTGTTTGTCTTTCAATATTGCTCCCACAATGCTATCGGCGCACTTCTGCAGTGGAATGACGTCATAAAATCTGGAAAAAAAAAGATGTTGCTTGAAAATCTTCATGCTCTACGGAAGCATAACTTACGTGCTGAAAGGTTCCTCTAGATTCTCGATGAAATTAGTCTTGACAAAGTATGGAAAAATAGACGTAAGGATTATTTTCTTGTACAATCCTTTTTCGATGAGTTCCATTTGGAGAGCCTCCATGAAGCCGCGGCAGGCAAATTTCGCAGTACTAATCAGTGATAATTGCAGATTTGGCTATGAAGAAGACAAATATGAAAAATCTACCAATAGGCAGTGCCATAACGTCCACCAAAATAGCTGCAAATAGAACCCATCGATACAATTTGCCCTCTATCCGCCGAGATCATGTCAGGCAGGAAAGCTTTGACTGTCTGGAAAAATTCTCATTTCATTTATTTGAGCCAATTAAGTAGGATTTAAACTTACATAGATATGCCCTAAGACGTTAATGTTCGTATTTATTTTGTAGTCGTTGTACGAGAGATCCGTGCATTCACCAAACTTCAACACCGCTGCATTCACAATGCAAATGTTGACGGGGCCTGCAAAGAGTTCTTGGACTAAGAAAA